AGAATGTGGCTGAAGGCTGGTGCTCGTAGCTGTGTCCCTGTTAACTTCCCGCAAGATGCAAAAACTGAGTTTGCTTTGGAAAGAATCCCTGGAGCTAAATGTCCAACGTGTGTAGCTTTTTGTTCACGTTTTTGTCTCCCTCCCACCCTCCATGGAAGCACGCAGCTCTCTCAGAGTATCGCCCCATTCTCTCAAGAGCACCTGCATTTCAGCCCCGGACTTCCATAGCAGATAAGAAGTTGATTCTCATCCCTGTCATCTTTATCATCCTCCGCATCTGGAGCACGGTGCGATTCATTCTGACCCTCTGTAACTCCCCTGCAGTGCAAAATTCAGTCCTGGTTGTCCTGCATGTAAGTATTTGCCAGGAAACGCATTAGAAGGAGGATCTGGGAGGGAGATAAGGCTTTGTTGCTCTTAATATCACATTTTTGTGGCAGGATGCAGCGCGTACTGGTAAAACAACATGCGTGTTGCAAGAACATCTGCTCCCTGCTGGCAAGCGCTGTCTGGGATGCTCAGCAGTAGCTATTTCAGCAGCATCTAGTGGCTACAGAGAATAACTGCAATAAGTGTTGGGCAATGCCGGCTGCTTGTAGGAAAAGCAGGCTCACACCAGAAGTGTTGGGTGTCTGTCCTTCAGCAGGGCTCGGCCTGCTCCTCCCCTAGACCAGGCTGTAGAAACAGCAACCCACACCAGCCTTTTCTAGTCTGCTTTTGGGTGCAAGGTTGATTCTTCTGAACCTGTTTTTCTCATTTAGGTGGAAGGTGCTGACTGTCAGTTCAGCAGTACTATAGCTGGTCTGACACGATGTTTGCTCTTCTCTGGGGGGTGCCTGTAGGAACGACACTGATTAATTCCTTTCTTGCCCTTGCAGGGAATTGGAAACACGTTCCAAGGAGGTGCCAACTGTATTATGTTTGTCCTCTGTACGCGGGTGGTCCGGACTCGGCTGTTTTCCTCCATTTGCTGCTGCCACTACGATGAGTTGGACTGGCCTTTGCAAAGATCAAACGACTGGCAGTGCCCAGAACCCCACAAGAACAAGGATGTGCCAGGCCCTGAGCGGACGAAACCCCTGCTTTCCAGCACCTGAGCCTGGGCTGCCTACATCTCAGTGTTGATTTCTTCTTTCTTGGTAAAGATCTAGTGTGAGTCTTTCCTCCTGCCCTGCCTGTGCACGGCTTCATGATGTGAGGGGTGGGGAGCAGCTATCGGTAAGCAGATGACAGAGAGGTAGGCGGCGGCTGCTGCTGCTGTGGGCGTTCCCTGTCTGACTCTACAGCAGCTCCCCATCGTGCTCCTTTGGGGCGAAACCATTTATAGAACAGATCCACTCCCCTTCCCTGTGAGCTGGGGTAGTGTCAAGCCTGTAAAATGAGGAAATAGACTGCAGTGCTGTCTGGCCCACAAGGACATGACACCAGTGAAAACTGAAGAGGAGGAATTAGCGGCTCCTTTTGGTGTAAAATACCATGCACGCATACATTTCTTCAGTACTGCACAGTTCAGATGTGTTTAGTGCCCCAAGTGTTCCTCATAAGGCAATGCAATCCCTGCTGCCGATCATCATAAAAAGAAAACAGAGGGTAAGTGATTCATCCAAGCTTACGTAGAAAACTTGTAGGAGCAAAAACTTGACAGAAGCTCTCCATCGTTTCAGGTACAAGATTGGACACTGATGCCCTTGCGTTGGTCTAGTTGTTCAAGCATCTTGTTTCCTTGCGCTTGACCTCAGGAGTGATAGTTGCAGAACACGTAGGGGTGTCAGACTGAATCCATTTCAGAGCACTTGGGGTTGGGGCACTGTGTGGGCTTCTGTCTGTGAAGCAGATATTGGTAATGCTCTCTTCAGTAATAGAGTGCAGCTGAAGGAGGGAAAAACCTAGAGCAGCTGTCCCGACTGCTTAGGTGAATGTAAACTGTGATGTGCTGGGAGCTGCGGTCTCTTCGGAAAGAATATGAAACCCTGTGTACTTCTGCAGTTGTACTTACCCTGCAGGTCACACTTAGTAGAAGGGGCTGAGTCGGAAAGGCAGCAAGCCTGTCCGGGTCATGGGGCGCAGCAGGGGTTGAGCATCCTGGAAAGCAAGCTGTGTATCGGGTACGGCAGGTCTCTGAGTAGATCTCGCTCACATACATCTGTTTCTTGTCTTCCCAGACCGCAAAGCCCAAAAAAACAAAGGACTTTTTTTAATCAATTGACAATTCTTTTTAATGCGTATAACAAGTTTTTGCAAAAAGATCAGGAGCCTCATGAATTGTCTGGGGCTAGAGGGCAGCTGTCAGGCTGCCGCTGCTCCAGGCAGCCAGCTGTTCAGGAGCTGCTCTTGTTAGTTTAATTTTCGTCATTTTAACAGCATGCAGAACAGTTAAATGATACAGTGATCTCATGGGACTATAGGCAGAGCCGAGTCCCATTATTTCCTGAGTTGAAGACTTGGCATTAACTTTATTATTATATTAATATACTTAAGCCCCCCTGTACACAGGCTGTGTAAACATCGGAAGGTGGAGTCCTCAAGAGCTCATGAGCCTATTTCATGGGGCTGTAGAGGGGCTTTTAGCTCTTCAGCATCCCTAGAGTCTTTCAAGGGTAGATGCAAGCATCTTATCTCTGGCATAGATGACTTCAAGATGTTTTTCCTCCTTTCAAAAGGCTTTTTTAAACTTCTAAAAGCTAAGTAGCAACCTTGGTAGCTCAACTTCATGTTAATCCCACGTGGCTTGGAAAGAGGAGCTATGTTAAAAACTTCTTGCGGAAAGGCAGGGTAGTAAATCTTAAATTTTGAGACTTATAATTGTGCTGTGTTTGGTTTTTTGGAGCCAGCCCTGAAGAGAGGAAGTAAAATTGTCGCCAACTTGGCTCAAGGGAAAAGAAAACAAAACACCACAAACACAAAAAAAAATACCCCTCACCCCCCCCCCAAAAAAAACCCCAAACTAATCAAAACAGATTCCTTGTTCTCAGTTTGCCTTTTTCCATAACAGAGCTCTAAGAAATGCTTTTGGAGGAATGTGCAGCTCGACAGAATTACATTTTCAGCTCCCAGGGGCCCAGGGAAGTGTGCTGGTTTCTAAAGGCCGGCTATTGCAGGTGGAAAGTCTCTGGCCATCTTCGTGTCAGCAAGGACAGAGGAAGAAAAACAGCCAACAGAGAACCTCTTAGAAGTGTCTGTAGTTCTAACACTGAAGCTGACTGCAGCCTAAATATAAACAGAGATGGGATAATAGGGGAGGTGGTGTGCAGAAATGCTTGGCTGCTCCTGGCAGGTCCCCCTCAGTCTGGCATGAAGTGCAAGTGCAGGGGTGGTGCTGGAGCGCAGTTCTCCCTGCAGCCTCAGTTGTCTGTGAAGATGACTCCGAACTCCTCCCTGTCAGGCATGGACTGGAGAATTTTACCTCAGATGTTTCTGAAGGTGGCTGAGGTTGGGGTACCTGGCTGTACTTTAGGAATGGGTCCATCACGTCTGTTTTCAGCTGCTGCAAGGTGACGTCCCTGCGGCTTGAGCTGCAGCAAGCCTGTTGTCCTGTCTCAGGGCAAACCTGTGCACACTGGCTGCAGGAAGATGGGGCGGTCCTGGATTGTAACTGTGCTTCATTTTGAGCAGGTGCGGGATCATCCCAGAGTCCCACAGAGGGAGCTAAAGCCTGGGGAAAAGCACGGCTGGAGTGGCTGAGCAAACGGAAGAGGTCCGGCTCCTC